GTCCCTTAGTGTAGAAGCTGCTAAATCTTGTGTGATCCTGATTGTGTTTCCACAATACTTGAGTTGTTTCTTTCTGGCTGCTTGCAATATTTTCTTCTTGACCTGGGAACTCTGGAATTTGGCTATAATATTCCTAGGAGTTTTCCTTTTTTTTCAAGAGATGATCGGTGGATTTTTTCAATTTCTGTTTCACCCTGTGGTTCTAGAATATCAGGGCAGTTTTCCTTGATAATTTCTTGAAAGATGATGTCTAGGCTCTTATTTTAATCATGGCTTTCAGATAGTCCAATAATTTTAAATTATCTCTCCTGGATCCATTTTCCAGGTCAGTTGTTTTTCCAGTGAGATATTTCACATTGTCTTCTATTTTTTTCATTCTTTTAGTTTTGTTTTACACTGCCTTGATTTTTCATAAAGTCACTAGCTTTTATTTGCTCCATTCTCATTTTTAAGGAAGTATTTTCTTTTTCTTTTTTTAATTTTTTTTTATTAATTTGATTTATCAATAATCACTTCCATATGCTTTTGAGTTTAAAATTTTTCTCCCCCTTCCTCCCCACTGCCCTCCCCAAGATGGCGCATAATCTGATATGTGCTATACATTTACATTCATATTAAACATTTTCACACTAGTGATGTTGTAAGTAGAAATTAAAACCAATAGGAGGAACCATCAGAAAGAGAAACAAAACTCAACAGAAGAGAAAGAACATAGCAATTCAGCTTCTGTAGTTCTTTCTTTGGGTGTAGTTAGCATTTTCCATCAGAAGGCCTCTAGAGATGTCTTAGATCCTTGTATTGCCAGGAAGGGTTAAGTTTATCAATATTAGTCATCACACAATGTGGCTGTTATTGTGTACAACGTTCTCTTGGTTCTGCTCACTTCACTCAGCATCAGACCATGCAAGTCTTTCCAGGTTTTTCTGAAGTCAGCCTGTTCATCATTTCTTATAGCACAATAGTATTCCATTACATTCATATACCACAACTTGCTCAGCCATTCCCCAATTGATGGGCATCCTCTCAATTTCCAATTCTTTGCCACCACAAAAAGAGCTGCTATGAATATTTTTGTACATGTAGGTCCTTTTCCCGTTTGTGTGATCTCTTTGGGATATAGCCCTAGAAGTGCTATTGCTGGGTCAAAGGGTATGCACATTTTTATAGCCCTTTGGGCATAGTTCCAAATTGCTCTCCAAAATGGTTGGATCATTTCACAACTCCACCAACAATGCATTAGTGTTCCAGTTTTCCCATATCTTCTCCAACATTTATCATTTTCCTGTTTTGTCATGTTGGCCATTCTGATAGGTGTGATGTGGTACCTCAGAGTTGTTTTGATTTGCATTTCTCTAATCAATAGTGATTTAGAGCATTTTTTCATATGACTATAGATAGCTTTAATTTCTTCATCTGAGAACTGTCTGTTCATATCCTCTGACCATTTATCAATTGGGGAATGACTTGTATTCTTATAAATTTGACGTAATTCTCTATATATTTTAGAAATGAGGCCCTTATCAGAGAGATTGGTTGTAAAAATTCTTTCCCAATTTTCCACCTTAAGGAGGTATTTTCTTTGGTGAGCTTTTGGACTTCCTTTTCCATCTGGCCAGTTCTACTTTTTAAGGCATTCTTCTCCTTGTTGGCTTTTTGGACCTCTTTTGCCATTTGGGTTAGGCTATTTTTTAAGGTATTATTTTCTTCAGTATTTTTTTGGGTCTCCTTTAGCAAGCTGTTGACTTGTTTTTCATGATTTTCTTGCATTATTCTCATTTCTCTTTCCAGTTTTTCCTCTGCTTCTCTTATTTGCTTCTCAAAATCCTTTTTGAGCTCTTTTCCATGGCCTGGGACTGATTCATATTTTTCTTGGAGGCTTTGGATGTAGGAGCTTTGACTTTGTTCTCTTCTTCTGGTTGTATGTTTTGATCTTCGTCACCAAAGATTTTATGGTCTGACTTTTTATGGTCTGAAGTTTGCTTGTGATCCCAGCCAATTACTTGAGTTTTAAACTCTTTGTTAAGGTGGGGGTCTGCTTCCAGTGTGGCGAATGTACCATCCCAAGCTTCGGGGGTTTTGTGCAGCTGTTTTCAGAGGTACTTCTAGGGACCTGTAAATTTTCAGTTTTTCAAGGTGGTACAATGAAGGGCGGGGTGTCTACTCCTTTTCTGGCCTGTACTCTGGTCTGTGAGTGACCACAAGTACTCTTTTCTGCCTTGGAACTGTGAGGAGGATTCCCTCTCCACCACTACTACAAGCTCCACCATGCCAGTGCTGCTCCCTACCCCAGGATCCTCACCCAGAACTGTGACCCAGATCCAAGCAGGGCAAAGCAAAGAATCCCGCACCAGCAGAGAGATCCCTGCAATCCCCCTCTGATCAGCCACTTGATTCTCCCTCACTCTGTAGGCCAGAAGCTCCAGAAGCAACTGCTGCCCCAGGAAGCACCAGGACTAGGACTGGGACCAAGCTTCTCTTTCACCATGGTCACAGACTTTTCCTACTGATCTTCTAAGTTCTCTTTGGTGTTCGTGGGTTGAGAGGTCTGGAAACCACCACAGCTGCCTGTGATTCAGTCCCCTGAGGCCTGCTTCAGGTTTCCTGAGGCCTGGTCTTTACCTGCGCACCCCATGCTGCACTGCCCTCCTCTCCCAACCCGACGCAATAGACCTTTCCAATCAATCATCCAGGTTGTCTTGGGCTGGAAATTTGTTTCGCTCTGTCTTTTTTGTGGGTTCTGCTGCTCTAGAATTTGTTTAGAGCCATTTTTTACAGGTATTTGGAGGGCTTTGGGGGAGAGCTCAAGCAAGTCACTGCTTTCACTCTGCCATCTTGGCTCCGTCCCCCCAATTTTTATTTATTTATTTATTTTAAAGCCAAGAGCTGAGGCTGCGCTAAGGTGGCAGCTCAGGAGACTTGGTCTTTCTACATGCTTCTCGAGGGGCTGTCATCAGAGCATGCTGCCAGTAGCTCTAGCTCCCTAACCAGCCCCATCAGATGGAGGAAAATAAGGGGAAGGAGGGACGTCACGATCTTGTGTCCCCTCTTGGGAGCTTCCCTGGGAGGAGTTGATTATTTCAAGGTTTAGAGGTGTAGGTTTCATATGAGGGAGGGCTAAGAAGGTAGCTCCTGAGGTCCAGGGGCTAGTGGACTATGATCATGGAACCATAGACTAGATATCTAGAAAGGGCCTTAGATCACAGAAGACACTGTCAGAACCGGGGAAGCCCATTGAAAGGTAGATTGTAGAATGTTAGATCGGAAGAGACTAGAAAATGTAGGATAACAAAGCAAGGAGGAACCCAGAATATAGAATGGTAGAATTAGAAAGGCCCTGAGAAGATGAACTAGCAGCATTTGGGGGAGGGAGGGTCCTCTTAGAACACAGACTCTCAGAATTGGAAGAGCCCTTAGGGGATCACTTCTAAAAGGAACTCTAAAGATCTTTGGCTGCTTTTCCGGTCTGACTGTTTTTGGTTTTTTTTTTTTTTTAAACCAAAATAGTGAGACCAGGAAACGGTTTTCTTCACCAGAGAAAGACCTCAGGATAACTAAGCAGTGCTTGGAACAGAGGGACCTAGACTGGCTTAAGGAAGGTCCTCAAGATACTCATTTAAGGAAAAGGCAAGAAGGATTGTTGGCAGAGGGAGAGATGAAAAACACTTATCTGACTAGAGCAAGGAATCTGCTGCGGCATAAAGACCTGGATTCCAGTCTCTGTTCTGCCATTGACTCTCCAGGCTTCCTTGGGCAAGTTCTTTCCCTTCTGGGCCTCAATTTCCTTCTTTGTAAGAAGGTTGTACTCTGGATCTCTAGGGTCCCATTTGACACCAGATTCTAGGAAAAGAAGCAAGAATGTTTTGGGGAATTCAGAAAAGACAGTGTGGTCTTTGGCACAGCATCTCTTGTACCTAAACCTGAGCTTTCTGTACATAGTAGATGTTTATTAATACAATAATTATTTGATGACTGAAATTGATTTGCTCTAAAATCTTGGCCCATAGGACAACGAAGTGATATTTAAAGATGTGTCCTCAGTCATAAAAAGGGACTTCCGCTAGGGTTTGTCCACTTTCTTGACTCGTTCCACTTGGCACTGATAAGCTGTGTCTGCTAATCCATGGAGAGCCTGTGTCCTTGTTTGTTTGCTCTTCAATTACATTTTTTTTTTTTTTCAATGAACCAAAATCTGCCTTCTCTCCTTCGCATGTCTGGAATGTCCTCTCTACCCATCTCCACCTGTGGTTTCCCTGGCTTCCTTCAAGTCCCAATTAAAATCCCATCTTTTACAGGAAGCCTTTCCTGATCCCCCTTCATTTCTAGTGATTTCTCTCCCTTGATTATTGCCAGTTTATATTGTATATGTTTTAATTCTAGTGCCTTCCCTCTGAAACAATCTCCAATTTATCCTATCTATATCTCATTTAAAAATAATTCTTTACATGCTCTCTCCCACATCAGACTATGAATTCCTTGAGAAAGAGCTGGTGTTTTGCCTTTCTTTTCATCCCTAGTGTTTATCATAGTGTTTGGCATATAGTAGGTACTTAATAAATGCGTGTTGAGTGACTTTACATCCATTTGTACAAGTCTTCCCAAGTGTCTTTGAAACCCTCCTCACATCACAGTAGTGTTCTTTCATATATCATAACTTGTTCAGAGTCTCTCATTTGATGGGCACCCTCTTAGTAGTCAGTTCTTTGCCAGCACAGAAATAGGTGCTATAAATGTTTTTATAGATCCCGTGCCCTTGTCACACTGGTAGCCTGGCAGCAGCACCTTGTGGTTGGTGGCCAGCCTCTGCTGTCTTGTCTCCTGAACTGTTGGCTTGCGTGTCTGTCTGTGTATTGGAATTCCATAGCCCTTAGCTAGGCACCAACCTCTTCAGACTTCTTCAGGCATATTTGCTTCCAATGGGAAGGGGATCCAGAAAATTCTGACTCCAGGCCCTCCGGTGGCCTGCCCCCGAAGGCTGATTAGCCCCTGCCTTTTCTGTCCAGGCCCTCTTTAACTTGCCTCCACATGGAGATTCCTTAATCCACTTCGTCATGGATCTTGCGATGAAGGTTTACAACAAGAATTTAATCCAGATGAAGATGAAACCCTTTGTATTAGATGAGCTGAATAGGAAGTATATGAATTACCTACATCTTTTGGCCAAGGACACTCAGGTAAAAGGGATTTCTGTGACCTTCCTCCCTCTTCTGCCCCTCCCCCCCAACTTGAACTCAGGACAGAGAGGGGCGAGCAATGTCCCCTATCTTAAACCCTGTCTAATACTGGATCTAGTTAACAAGTTCTCCAGTGGTTCTGTAAGGAAATGTTCTGTGGGTCCTGTGTGGTAAAGTGGGTACAGGGAGCTGGGAGGGCTCTTAGAACACAGGGTGTCAGAGCTAGGAATACTGTTAGAACATAGAGTGTCAGAAGTGTGGGTGCCCTTAGAACATAGAATATCAGAACTGGGGGAGCTCTGAGAATGTAAAATGTCAAAGCTTGGAGGGCCCTTTAAATAAGGAACCCAGGGTGTCAGAGTTGGGGGTGGGGCGCCACTTAAAACACAGGATGTCTGAGCTGGGAGGGCCCTTAAAACACAGGATGTCAGGGCTGGAGGGGCCCTTAGGACACAGGATATCAGGGCTGGGGGGGGCCCTTAGAACACAGGATGTCAGGACTGGCAGGGCCCTTAGGACACAGGATGTCAGAGCTGGGAGGGCCCTTGGAACATAAAATGTCAAAGCTTGGAGGGCCCTTTTAATAAGGAACCCAGCGTGTCAGGGCTGGGAGGGCCCTTAGGACAATCCCTTAGAGAGCTCTTGAACTAGAAGGTATCTAAGAAGTTTGTCTAGCATCCAGTTTATAGAATTTGAATCCCAGAGTAGGGGAGGGAATTGACTGTTGAGTGTAGGAGTGGCTGGATGGAATTTTCTCACTGCTGATTCTCTGGGCCTTGCAGCTGGACTCCTGCCTGCCCCGGGAGTTCTGGGAGTCCTTGGAGTCGGAAGCCACCATCTCCTCCGATTTCTTCACTCAAGAGAAGGTCTGGCCAGATGTGGTGTTGGTGCAGCTTGGAACCCACCTTGTGGAGGTGCTGGTGCAGGCCATCCGCATGCCCAACAATTTGTTCTCCTCCCAGACGGAGAAGAGACTCATCCCTGTGCTGTACCATGTTTACTCCTTCCTCTCCGTAAAGCAGGTAAAGATGCCACAGGCCTGTTGACCTTCACGGTGGCAGGATGTTCTTGGACTCTTTCATCTCCCAGATCTGATCACTTTCCAGATCCTATTGATGTGTGTTGTAGTGAACTCAGACCTTTTCCATCTGTAGCCTGATACACTGAGTTTGAATTTTGATTCACTACTAAGGGAGCTAACCACCATACTTTTGTGGCCTTATTTTACATGACTTCCCATTGCCTCATCCAGCTTTGTTTCTCCTCTCTCAAGTCACCAAGCATTTATGAAATGCCTACTATATACCAGACATAGGTTCACAGGAGGTTGTCTGATGAATGTAATGTCCAGGGCTCCAATAAGAAACTTTCCCCAGGAGAAGAAAGCATGATCCCTAAGTTCAGCCATGTGTCAGGCCCTTTTCTAGCTTGGACTTTATCCTTTTCTACTTTCTTATTAAATAAATTGAATGGAAGGCCTGGGCTTTGGAATTCTGGATGGGAGCCTTTCTTTTCCCTGTTGAATTTGATTCTAAAGATCTTACTTTGATTCTTGATTTTCCAGATTGGTTTCATTAAACCCCATCCTGCCTTCAATCAGCTGGTAGCTGAAGCTGCTTGCACCAAGCTGACCTTTGACTCCTCTGTCATGCCCATGTTGTGCCCTCCCAAACCTTGGACTTCACCTGTCTTTGGGGCCTATGTCCTCCACCCCACCAAGCTGATGCGCTGCCTGGATGGGACTGTCCAACACCAGCAGCAGCTGGAGAACTGCCCTCAGGAGCATTTGCACTCGGTCCTCGATGCCCTCAATCTGCTGGGTAACTGTGCCTGGAAGGTGAACCAGCCTGTGCTGGACCTCATAATCTCCATCTTCAATGCTAAGGGCAGCAAGAAGCTAGATGTGCCCCCACCCATGTCGGAGGCCCCCATACCCCCTTCCTACCAGTTCTCCAAAGATGCCAGCTCTTTAGAAAAGTCGAGGCTGCGGCGAGAGATCGCCCAGTGCCATAAGACCACCCGGGAAATGTACAGCCTGCGCACAGATGCCTTGTACAAGCTGTCCATTGCCCACCACCTGCGAGACCAGATCTTCTGGTTTCCTCACAACATGGACTTCCGGGGCCGCACTTACCCTTGCCCACCGCACTTCAACCACCTGGGCAGTGACATGACCCGGGCTATCTTGCTGTTTGCTGAAGGCAAACCCTTGGGGCCCAGTGGCCTGAATTGGCTAAAGATTCACCTCATCAACCTGACAGGACTCAAGAAGAGAGAGTCGCTGAAGGCCCGGCTGGCCTATGCCAATGAGATCTTGGAGGACATCCTGGACTCAGCGGACAATCCACTGACTGTAGGTGAAAGTGGCCACAGGGTGTCATGGTGGGAGAGGCGGGGCTGCTGGGCCTGGGTAAGGGGAGCATCCAGGCTCTACCAGCCTCAGAATCAGTGAGTCAGAAAGCCATCCATCGCTGGAGGACCACGTCCTGGCCAGCATCAGCCCAGAGCTAACCAGCTGCCTTTCCTCTCTCCAGGGAAGGAAGTGGTGGATGGACGTCGATGAGCCCTGGCAGGCCCTGGCCTGCTGCATGGAGATTGCCAATGCTGTCCGGTCACCAGACCCCACGGCTTACGTCTCCCATTTACCTGTCCATCAGGTAGGTGGCAGTAGAGGTGAGTGGATGGCTTTGTCCATGGTGGAGGTGGGAGTCCTGCCTGGGAAACCTTTGAATTCCCCCCAAACTGGAGGTTCCATAGGACAACAGGCTGCCTCAGGAAGAAGGGTGTTTCCTGTCCCTGGAGGCCAGATGGTCACTCATGGAGAATGTGTGTTTGTTTAAAGAATCTTGGAATCTGAGTTGCATGGGGCCTTTGAGGTAAGTTAGCTGTTATATATAGGAGTTTCTGTTCAGGTATAAGCGGGACTAGGTCTCAGAGGTTCCTTCCAGCTCTGAAATTCCGTGGGCAATTATGGAAGCCACTAAGGTTTCCCCTCTGAACCTACTCTCAGGTAGGAAAGGAAGGAAACAAGCATTTATTAAGCACCTACTATGTGCCAGACACTGTGCTAAGCTCTTTTTACAATTAATGTCTCATTTGATCCTACAACAACCCCAAGAGGTAGGTGTTATTATAATGCTCATTTTACAGTTGAGGAAACTGGGGCAGACAGGTTAGGTAACTTGCCCAGGATCACACAGCTAGGGAGTGTTTGAAGCTTTGTGACTTCAGGTCCAGGTCTCTATCTACTAGCCGTCTCGTTGGCTGTGGAGTTCAGTGACAGGTCTTATGGCCTTGCATGCCCACTTTTTTGTGAACAGTGAGATTGGGCAGAACGCTGTGGAGAGGAGCAGATGGCTTGGAGTGCCTGCTAATACTCCCCTTCCCCCCAGCTGACTCTGAGGGCTTGGTTCAGCCAGCATTTATAAGGGCCTCTGTGTGCCAGGCCCAGGGATAAAGGCAGGAGTGAAACAGTCCTCACCCTAATTCCTAGGGAGAAATAACCCAAATAAGTAAATGTATAAACTATATCCACAGTTTTGGGGGCAGTGGGGAGAACACTAACAGCTGGGGCGCCTGGGACAGGCCTTTCCTCGACGGTGGCACCTGAGCCTTGAAGGGAGCTGGGGATCCCACGGGCTTGTGTGAGCTAAGGCAAGAATTCCAGGCCTGGGGGACAGAGGCAGAGAGGAGGTGGGGTGGCATGTGTACACGCAGTAGTAATCTGGCTGGCTTTGCAGAAAGATAGATTGGAGCCAGTTTTCAAAGACCTCTGAATGTCTGAAATTTTATCCCAGAAGTAATAAGGAAGCCCTGAACCGTCTTGAGCAGGGGAGTGGGCTTCAGCAGTATCAGCTTTGTAGCTGTGTAGATTGGAGAGGGGAGAAGCTAGGGGAAGGGGGACTAGCCGTGAAGCTCCTTTAGAAGCCCAGGTGAGAGGTGAGAAGGGACTAAACGGGGTGATGACTGGGCAAGCAGAAGGGGACTTTGAACCAAAGCAGGAGGCAAGACTGGACTGACGGAAAGAGATTGGACAGCAGCCTCATCCCCCCGGGGTGGGGGGCAGGTCTTCTCTATCCATTACAAGAGATTTGCCCGATCTCATTATGTGATCAAACAGGCTCAACAGGGTTTGCTGCCCACAGAGATGGGGGATCTGCCACTCTCCTCCTGATGGCTGTGATATTATTGTTCTAGGACAGGCACACCAAATGGACTTCCCTTCCTGCTTGCTTCCCCTCCCCCATCCTACCCCAAGCTTTCCTCTTTAGTATTCACCTTTAGTTTTTGTGAGTAGCTGCTCCTTTCCATGGAGTCTTCATGGCCCTCTCGTGCCCAACTTCATTTTCTTTTGGGTTGAAAGCTGGTATCTCTTACTCCTCTTCCCCATCTACGTGACTGGGCCAGACTCGCCCCTTTTAGTGCATTTATACCTTTCCTATTTGTCTTGGCCCACCTGGTAGGTTTGCCTCTTGAGAGTTGGCTAAGATCATCTGAACTGTTCCCCAAACCTGGCTTCTCTCTCCAGGATGGTTCCTGTAATGGGCTCCAGCATTATGCGGCTCTGGGCCGAGATGTCATCGGGGCCTTCTCTGTCAACTTGATGCCCTGCGACGTTCCCCAGGATGTCTACAGTGGCGTGGCTCAGCTGGTAAGGTGCCTTGCCTCCCTCTCTCCTGACTCCTTGTTCTCCTTGGGCTGAGGTTTTTTGTGGCCCTGCCTCATGGAGGCTGGACAAGTCTTAGAGGCTCTGATCCCAGGCACTTGGCTCCTCTCCCCTGCGTAGGTGGAAGAGCAGCGCAAAAGAGATGCCGCCAAAGGGAGCTCGATAGCCCAAGTCCTAGAGGGCTTCATTAGCCGCAAGTTGGTAAAGCAGACGGTGATGACAGTGGTCTACGGTGTGACACACTATGGCGGCAGGCTGCAGATTGAGAAACGCCTGAAGGAGCTGGATGATTTCCCCAAGGTTGGTCCTCCAATGGCAAGGATGCTGTCCTCCCTCAAAGGGGGAGGACTGCAGGCCGTGGCCTTTGCCCTCAGGGATGCCCTGTTAGTGGTCTTCACTCACCTGTCCCAGACAGCTCCCTCCCTTTCAGAGGCTTCCAGGTGGTGCTACACTCTAGTCCCTGGTTCTTAAAGCATGGCTCTCCCCTACTCGTAATCTTCCTGTGAACCAGGACACCACACTTGGCATGTCTCTTCAGAGCTTTTCTAGAGCACATTTGTGAACAGAGAGATGGTGGAGGCCACCGTGGTAAATGCGGACGTGTTTACATGCATGCACCATCACTGGGAGTAAGTGACTGCAGATGGACAAATAGCTGCATCTGACACATGCTCTTCAGTGCCTCCTGACACATCCAGGTGCATCACTTTCCTTTTCCCCCCAGTCACTTACCAAATTCTGTTCCTTCTTTGTATTATTCTGTGTTCCTTCATTCCTTCTCAGTCCCTGTGGCCTGGTCTCTTGTAAGTCTTCTTCCTTGCTGATCTTCCTGCCTTCGGTGTTCCTGTGTGCAATCCATCTTCCAGGCCGTTGCCAGAGTAAACCGTCCTGCTTACAAGGCCTTGGGGGCTCCCCCGACGCGAGAACCCCAGTGCTGACAGCAGTGTGCTGTGCTGGGTACACACCCAGACTTAGATCACAGGCCACAGCTTTGAGGGCTGGAGAGGACCTTGGAGGGTCCCGAGTTACCCACCCTTCATACTTTATTTTTATTTGTTTTTTAAATTTTTTATTCATTTTAAACTTAAATACAAAAGAAAAAAAAACATTTTCATGTACACAACAGAACATGAGAGGATACAGTATAGAACAATAAATTTCCATTTCACGAAAACCTATATAATAAATCCTACATGTGGTTTTCAAAGCCACCCAGCTTTTCTGTGCTTCGTTCTAGGTTTTCTTTTGTTCTGTGCTGTGCGCTTTTTATTTTTATTTTTTTCCTTATCCCTCCCACCACCCCCCACAATTAAGCAGGATTATACATATGTGTGTGTGTATATATATATATAAAAATATATACACACAAATACACATCCATAAACATACATACATACACACGTATATGTATAAGTCCTTACTATGCAATTTCTCTTTGTCAGTTCTTTTTTTGGAGGTGGATAGCATCTTCCTTAGGTCCAAATCTTTCCTTGTTATTCTAAATCTAAACCAGCTCATCATTGCTTATATCACAGCACTATTCCATCACAATCATATACCACAGCTTGTTTAACCATTCCCCAGTTGAAGGGCATCTATCATTTTAGCCAATCTGATAGGTGTAAGATGATCTCTCAAAGTTGTTTTAATTTGAGTTTCTCCAATTAATAATAATTTAGAGCATTTTCTCATATAATTTTCTATAGTCTTGATTCCTTCATTGAAAAACCTGCCTGTTCATGTCCTTTGACCATTCATCATTTGGAGTATGACTTGTATTCTTGTTAGTTTGACAGACTTCTCCATCTATTTGAGAAATGAGGCCCCTGTCTGAGAGATTGTCTACAAAAATTGTTTTCTCATATTTTAAATGAGCAAATTGAGGTCTGGAGGGATAAAGTGACCTGCCAAGGATCACATATGAAGGCAGACCTGGGGTTGACTCAGAATTCTACTATCCTTCTCCTGAGCCACACTCCCCATCATTTTGCTGTTGCACTCTTGTGGTCAGGCTGGCCCCAGACTCTGGGTAATAGGGTTTGTGGAGACTGGGGAGGGGTCCCAAACATGTTTAACGGTTTGGGTACCTGCATGGGTACTACGTCAGGAGCCCTGGGCTGGCATTGACTCGGGAGGGCTGGGGGCCATTTCTGCACCTGATATCCTGTGTGACCTTGGGCAAGTTCCTTGGAGTTAAAGCTGGAAAGGCCCTTTGAGGTCACTGGGTCACACCTCCTCGTTTTACAGAGAGAGAGGGGCTTGGCCCAGAGTTCCCCAGAGCTTCAGTCTCTCCATTTGTAAAATGGAGAGCGTTGCCTCTGCTTAGCCTCCTTCATGGAATTGTTTTGAAGATTCAGGAAGAGAACAGGTGGAAAGCATGCTCTGTAATTGTGACCCCCCTGTAGAGATGCAAGTCGTGGTCATTCTCTTTATAACCCAGCAACTCATCCTTGAATTTCTCTGAACCCTCTTCAGCCTAACTTCTGTTTTCATCCTGCTTCATCTCTGAGGCATGAGCGTCCATGGTTCACTGGCTCCTGGGCCACGCAGGGCTTTTCTGATCGGCTTCCAGGGGCCCCTTGGTTTTTAGCATTTGTTGGGCCTCTCTAGGTCACCCTCTTCAGGCCTGACTGTTTTGTAGGCTCTCATCCTATTCCCGTCTCAGACTTTCCAGTCAGCGAAGCTTCATCGTTCAGATCTTTCTCCATTCCTTCCTTTAGTCATTCGACAAACATTAAATGCCCGCTCTGCACAGATAGAGCTCTCAACCTGGTACTGCTAGAGATGCGCACTTTGGATGAGAACTCTTCCAGCTCCTGCCCAACCTGCCCAGTCAGGGGCAGCGTCTTTGTACTCCGACTGCCATCAGCTGACTGCCTCTCTTTCCTCTCACCAGGAACATGTGTGGGAAGCCTCCATCTACCTCTCCCAGCTGGTCTTCACTAGCCTTGGTGAGATGTTCTCAGGAACCAGGGAAATCCAGGTACCTCCTCCCTTACCCTTCACTAAGACCTGTGGGCACCTCATGAATGGGCTCAAGCTGTTGGAGGACTTGAGCTGTCCACACATGGTCTGTCTGCGTGGCAGCTGGCAAGGGCAGCCTTAGTCTTGGTAGGAACTCTAAGATAGTAACCAGGAGACCTGGGTTCTCTCTGCCACTAGGTACGTAACTATGAAGGAACAAGTCTCTCGCTTCTCTGAGCCTCAGTTTCCCCATCTCTAAGAGCATAGTGAGAATCCTTGTACCATCTGCCTCAGAGTTGTGAGGCAAGCTCTCTGTAAACCTTAATGTGTTTTAAAATGAGCACTATCAGTCTTGCCCTAGTGTGCAGGCTGACTGCCATCTTACTCTGCAGGCAGAGCCAGCTTCCCAAGCTGGGCCTTCGGTCTGCCACCCTGCCCCACCCCCCCCATGCCCCATGCAGAGCTGGGTCCACTCAAAGCAAGGGAGGAACATTTCTTCCCGGAAGGAATGCCCCAGCCTTGGGCCTTGGTGACCAGGCCTTAGCTGGTTAGTTAAGTCAAGGTCCCAGGACCATCATCTTCCCCCTCCCAGGCATGATGAAGCCACCTCTTTGTGTCTGTAAGTGCTTCTCCTTTGTCTTAATTAGTCACTCATACAACCCTGTGAGGTACAGAGTGGGAATTCTGAGAGGCCAAGGAAAGCCTGTGAGTGTGGGAGGCATCATGGTGCAGTGGGAAGACCTGAGTTCAAATCCTTGGCTAAGTCACTCTCCCTCCATGGGCCTCAGTTTCCTTGTGAAGGCCTAACCAACTGTAGGGAAGTTCATTACCAGACGATTGGGCCGAGGGTGGCACCCATATCAGTGGGTACTCATAGATCTTTGAAGTCCAGATAAGAAAACCGAGGCTCAGGAAGGAAGCGACTTCTGCGAGGTCACAGAGATCCTAAGTTGTAGAGCTTGATTCAAACCCAGGCCTTCAGACTCCAAAATCTAGGTGTCTGTCTACTGTTGAGGCCTTCACCTCACAGTTACCCTCTGTCCCCCAATCCGGGCTCTCTCTGTAGGACTGGCTGACAAGAAGTGCAGACTGTATCTCCAAGTCTGGGTCTTCTGTACAGTGGGTCACCCCGCTGGGCCTTCCCATCATTCAGCCATATCACAAGACCCAGAAAACCATCGTAAGTGACGCGTTCCCTGAACATATCCCTGCCTCTCCCTCCCGAAGCGTGTGGGTGTGGCCATGGCCGTATCCGTCCCAAGAGTGACTTCCTCACTCTCTCCTCAGGTTTCTGGGAGTCTGCAGTCTCTGTGCCTCATGAGATACTCTGATGTCAGCCAGTGAGTGACCTCTCATACAGTCCCCAAGCCACAGGGAATAAGACCCCAGCACCAACTGTCCCACATGCCCACCTCGGTACACTCTCCCTTTGGCTTCTTCCTCACCAGCCTTGTGCCGGGGGAACCAGCCAAGGGCTGAGGGTCCTCGCATCCCAGGCACTGAGTCGTAGAAGTGCTCAGTAGTGATATCCTCTCTCAGTGGCTGGGAATCTAGGCCTGCTTCAGGTGGGGGTTTGCATACTGGGAGTTGTTGGGAATGAGGAGGAGGAGGAGGTCTGTGTGACCCAGGAGCCCAGTGAGACAGGCGGCCCCTTCCCCTTGTCCTCACAGGAAACCAAACACCTTGAAACAGAAGAATGCTTTCCCCCCCAACTTCATCCACTCCCTGGACTCCACCCACATGATGCTGACGGCTTTGTACTGTCACAGGTGAGCAGGTAGCCCCTGCCCAGGGTGTGTGGCTGGCACGTGGCTGTGGCAGAGATTGCCCCCCCACCAGCTTGTGAGAAACAGCCTCATCTTCCTGCCTGCGTACTCTTCAGCTTGGCCCGGTCGCTTCCATCCCTGTTAGGGCTCTGTGTCATCTGGCCTGCTCATAAAGCCCCTAGGTCCCCCACGCTCCTGAGCTCTGTTTGTGGGCTCAACTCTTCCTTTAGCAAGCTGGGCGCCTTGGCAGGGAGGACGCAGCTTCGCGTGCAGATGAAGTGGAGCAGGGCCTTAGCAGCCAACAGTTGTTCTCCTGGGCCTTGTGTGAAGTCAGAGTCCCCACACCCCCCACCCCTCAACCCTGCTTCCTCCTGGAAGCAGCCCCCCACACTAACCTTTCCCTGCCTCCCAGGAAGGGACTCACCTTCGTCTCTGTGCATGACTGCTTCTGGACACATGCCTCCACTGTGGACGTCATGAATGAGGTGAGTGACCTTCCCTGCCATGCTTATGGGCGCTGAAGTGGAAGGGGATGATCGCAGGAGCCCCCCCGCTGCTCCTGTGCTTCTCTCAGTGACGCTGGCAGGCAGCCTCACTGTAGGAGGCCCAAAGGGAACTCACACATAAAAGGGGAAGGGGGTGAGACAAGTTCTGAGTCTCTTCTGTTTGGAGAGTCTGAACTGCCTTTTCCCTATCTCTCCTCTCCTCTGGGTCGTCAGTAACCAGGGCAGGGCCTCAGAGGCTAGGTGGTGTGCCTCTTTCTGAAGCCAGCTCCAAGGTAGCAGGTGTCTCGAGAGTCCAGAAGCCCAGGCTAGGACTGCTGTGGGTTCGCCTTGGCACCATTGCTCTGATGAGGCTGAGCAAGGCTGGGCCACAGTCGGGGTGATCTCTGTTGGGGGTGGGGGAGTCTCTCAGCTGGGAATCTCCTCCATTTCTCCCTCCATCCAAAAGGGGCAGGAGGGAAACTGAGGCTTCAGTTTTCTCCTGCTTTCCAGGTCTGTCGTGAACAGTTTGTGAATCTGCACAGTCAGCCCATTCTGCAGGAGTTATCTCGGTACCTGGTACAGAAATACTGCTCTAAGTTCCAGTGAGTGACCACTTTCCCTCCCCTCTTCCTCCCAGTGGCCAGGGGGCCTCAGCTGACAAGGAGAAGGCTTGCTCAGTCTCCTCAGCTCCAGCCTTCTCCAGGAGGTTGGCATCAGGACTCTGTTCCCTCAAGCCGCTGGACCCGGTGACACAGTCGTAGCGGTCCCTGAGGGATGACCAGGGCAAGCTTCAGCCCAGCATGGGCAGAGCCTGGAGTAGACCCCAGGTCTCTGCAATGCTTTCCACTTCACCCCAGCTGCTGTTCCACAGTATTTCCTGGTGGAAAATCAAACCCAAACCACTCTGGACTCTCTCCCCTTGCAGTGAATATTTCCTCATCTGCCCTCTGCCTGTCTCTTTGCTGTCCTTCATGGTCTCCGATCAGGATTCCCTGGAAACCCTGCCCCTTGGGTTCCAGGCCACTTGCCAGTCCTCCACTGATGGTTGGTTATTCTCTGACTGTTGATTTTTTCCCTCTGGGCTTTGATCTTAGGTCTCATGATTCTCCTAAAGAAATGTCCATCAAGGAGAAGTTGATGCTAAGGACACTGTCTCATGTGCCTGAAAGAGGTAGGAAGGCCAGATGGGCCTGTGGCTTGGGATGGGGTGGGGAGGAGAGGAGCTGGGCCTTCCTAGGCTCCCAGAAACGAGCTGAGCCCATCTGGTCACCTGTATCCTCTCTCCCTTGCCCCCAGCCCATCTTAGCAGAGCAGAGCCCCAAGGATGAAGAGGAGGCATTGTGGGTAGTGTGTGGGGCTGCCCTGAATCCCACAGCAGTCTTCTGCCACTTGAGAACCTCTCGATTGATTGATCCCCCTCCAGCTCTATCCTGCCTCCCATGCCCTAACCCCTCCAGGCGAGACCCCACTCACCCTGCAGAGAGGCTTTGGCTCCAGCTCCATAGCCTCTGCCCTGAGTCTCACAGGGCTGTTGTGCGGGAACACCTGGGAAGGGGACCCAGGACTATTGGCCTACAGCCTCACCCTCCATTCCCCCAGCTCTTGACAGCTCATCTCTCCTGGGCTGCTCTGATGAATGGTGGAAGGCCCCGGCTCCACTGACTCATTCTTTTCTCCATCCCACCCTTAGGAAATTTTGATCTACAGAACGTGAAGAAATCCACCTACTTCTTCAGCTGAAGATGGCTCTGAGCGTGCCACACACCCGTTATTGAAACTGAGTTCAGAGGGCCCTTGCCAGGAGTGTCCCTGCATCCTGAGGACTTGGGGATTTGGTCCTTCCTGGTCTGTGCTTCTCAGGCCCTCCCTGCCCTGATCCCTCCAAGAGTCCATCCTGCCTCCGGCCAAGGACAAGCTGAGCTGGCAGTGAGGGGCTGTGTCCCCTTCCGTTGTCAGCACTCAGGCTGGCACTGGTTGGGGGAGGGGTGGCTCACAAGAGTGCTCCTGGGGCTTAGCCTTAGCTGCATGAGCCTTCCAGCTCTTTCAGCTGATCTCCCAGAAAATACCGGGGCCAGGCCACATTCCTTACTCACTTATCGGCCTCCTGACCCCGCCCCCACTCCCGCTGAGTACCAGGGGGCCCATGTCCCAGGGGAATGATGATTCTCCGAGACTAGACCGGAGCCCCCGTCTTTCAGGAGGACCCCAGGATTCTCCATGCTTTTACCTATTTGTCCATCCTGAGCATCCAGAAATCTCTGGCACATGTACAGTAGTGTAAATAAAAAGCTTTTAACCCCAGTGGAGTGCTTGCTGTCTCAAGGACCATCTATAGATGGGCAGGAGAACACTCCCCCAGCCCCAGAGACCTCAGCTTGCAGGTGGGGGCTGGGGGAAGGGAGCTGACCTACTGCTGTAAGGGTGGAGATTTCCCAGATGGGTCAGGGGAAGAAGAGGAAAACAAGCCAAGACAGAGCCCAGCTGATTTCTAGGCCTCTTTGTCTATTGTCACCAGCTCAGAGGAAGTTGCTTCCTCTGTCCTTGTCTGTCTTCCCAGTTAAAAACTCATTTGGGGCTCCCTTTCTCTATTGCACACTGAGCAATGTGGTTTGGGGCTTTCAGAGGAGATGCTGCCATTTTGTGCTGAGAGCAGGCAGGGGCTTCAGTGGGGGAGGGAGGTCGCCTCTGGGGTTGGGGCTGCCTGGATTCAGGGTCCACGGGCTTCTCTGTTGCCTTTCGAAAGCTGCAGGGCTGGTTAGGGAGGGTATCTGAGGCATAGACTGGCTGCACTGTAATCTGAGCCTCGGATCACAAGAGATAGGACAGTGGAACCCGCCCCCCTCTGCCCCTTCTGCTCTCATGTGGACAAGGAGACTGCTGGGCAGGATGAAAGGTGATGCTTTCTCCGGCCTGGAGTAGAGGGTATCAGCCTAGACCCATCCTACTTTTGAACAGTCCAGGCTTTGAAGCCTTCCTTCCACCAGAAAAAGCTGGAATGGCTGTGCCCCTCTAGGAACTGGAAGGGGAGTGACCTGGGCTTCAAAGCAAGCCCTACCTTCCACAGCAGCTGAATGGCTAGTCTGTCCCGCCCCCAGTGTTGGGGGAGAAGGTTTAGTAACAGAAATAGCCTCCGAGGGCTTAGTGAAATTTGGCCGACATCCCCAGTGAGCTATGAAGGAGGACAAGGCTGTCCAGGGCTCTAGCTAGCCTCCAAGGTGAAAAATCTTGGAGGATAGCCCGGCCTTCCCTTTCCCACAGGCCCACAGACTGGCACCAGGGCATCCCCCACAGGAATCATGGCAGCACAGGGCAAAGGGACCCCTGCCTCCGAGTGCAAGGGACACCGGGACACCTGCTATCAGTTGTGGGCTTGGTACTGCTGACTCCAGAGGTTGGTGGTGGCGTAGAAAAAGACACCAAGTAAATAGAATGCAACTCCTCCAAGCCTTGCCCGTACACCCAAAGACACAGAGAAAGGGGTTCTCGAGCCTGGCCCTGCCCACAGTTACCTCACTCTGTAGGGTAAGCAGAAGAGGAGGCCAAGGGTGGGCCAGAGTAAGAAAGAAACATGGCTCATTTGAATTCAAAGGGCTGAAAATCTAGTCCAGAGGTTCTTAACCCTGGTGTTTGTGCACTTAAAGAAAAAAGTCATTTTCATAACAATTTCGATATAATTGGTTTCCTTTTCCAATCCTATATATGTATTTGAAAACATTCTGAGAAGGGGTCTATCGACCTCCCCAGGCCGCCAGGACACAGACGAGGTTAAGAACCCTTCAATCCAACCCCCTTATTTTATAGACCGAGAGACGGGGAGGAATGTGCCCCAGATAATACAGGCAGTAAAGTAGCAGAGATGGAGGGAGGGAGGCTGTTGGGCCAAATGCCTCTGAACACACAAGTTGCCAGGGATGCCTTCCAAGAGCCCTTCCCTCTAACCCAGTTGGAAGTCACTGGTCCCACCCAAGACAGAGAACAACTATTTAAAGAATCTGGGGTTTGAGGCTAGAAGGGACTTTACAGATCGCCTACCCCCGAGCTGTCAAACACACACATGGCCCACAGCATGCCAGATTAAAGTGTAATTGGGAAATATTTCACAAAGCAAATTAGAAGAGAAATGCATCAACATAGGTGGTTTTCCAAGTCTACGCAGCTCGCAGGGACCCTTCCGTAGGGTTTAGTGGCCCCCCTGTTCTGTTTGGAGTTTGCCACCCCTGATCTAACCCAAGCCCATTTTTTTGACTCATGGAGGAGGCTGACCCATTAGAGGTAACAAGGTCACAAGGAAGCTTTGGGTCTGGCTGCAAATTCAACTCTTTCCCCCCAGCCATGGTATAGAAGAGAGAAGTAGATGGTTGCAGGTGTTTTGTTTTTTTCTTTTTTCTTTTTAGGCAATTGGGGTTAAGTGACTTGCCCAGGGTCACACAGCTAGTGTCAAGTGTTTGGTCTAAGGCTGGATTTGAACTCAGGTCCTCCTGACTTCAGGGCCGGTGCTCTGTCCGCTGCACCACCTAGCTGCCCCCTAGGTGTTTCTTCTTGAAGGGATGAGGGGTTGGCATCATGCCCCCACCAAGCCAGGGATTGGAGGAACCAGACGGAGGCCTTGGATGCCAATGCACTCATGTTTATTGCACAGGATGGGGTGGGAGTGGAGGAGGGGTCTCCCGCAGGGGCCCTGTCAGGTTAGTTGGAGACGACTTGAGAGTTGCCACCTTTTTGTCCCGTTACCAGTCATACATTCAACAGAATGGCAGCAGCTGGAGGGGGGAGGGGGTGGAAAGTGATGCCCATCTGGGGAGGGGGAAAGCCTCAGTTAGGGAGACAGGCTGCATGATTAGGGGTGTACGGCTGAGTGATCTGATTAAAAACTCAAGTGTGGGGTGAGGACCCCAGAGCTAAAGACCTCCTGCCCCCCTGCCCTCACTCCAGACCAGGGGTCATTCTCCCCACTTAGACACAGAGGTATTGGCAGATCCCTGTTCCTCCACTCATCTCAAAGTCCCAGAAGACATCTCTAGGGGAACTCTCCAGACTGTCCCCACCCCCTTGTCGTGGGCCCCGAGGGAAGGCGAGGGTCTCTTTGGCTGGGAGCCAGCTGGCTGCTGCAGCTTTTTCACTCCCCACTGGTGAGTCTAAGGGGAACCCATTTTGTAAATGAAGGAAAAAACAGGGGGTGGGGGGGACAGGCTTAGCCAATACTCCCCAGAGCCAGACTTCATAACCCCAGCATTGCTAACCCAACCTCGAGCTTTACCCCTCCTCACCATGGGGCTCAGACCCCTGAGCCATCCTATCTCCCCATGTCCCCTGAGCTCCAGTATGGATTCAGGACATGCAGACGAGCACACACATGCACACGCACACACACAAATATAACATACCCACACACACGCCAGGACAGACGGTGCTTGTGCATGTCCAAAAACACACACCAGGACAGACAGCATGGCCCACACGCTGCCCAGAGGACCATGGTGCCCTAGGCAGGATGACCTCCACAACCTTCATGTCAGGGTCACCAGGCAAAGGCAGGGGCAGTGGGAAGGCAGGGCAGCAGCTCAGTTGGGCTGGACACTACACTTAACAACAAAAAAACCCAAACAAACGGAACCTGGACTGAGGAGAACACACACCAGGGCAAGGGGGCCTCTGCAGAGCTGCCTGACCTCGATGTCCCTGGAATAATGGGACAACCCTGGTCTTGTTTGGAGTTTCTGGGAAGAGATCCAAGGGACAGTAGCCAGTGGACCACCACCCCTTGAGGATCCCCAAGCACCTACCCTAGGAGAGGCAGGGTAGCATTCTCCCCCCATTTTACAGATGGGGAAACTGAGGCACAGAGGTGACATAAGCCCCCCTAACCTTGATGCTAAGGGTGGCTCAGAGGAGAAAGGAAGGAAAGCAAGGGGCCAGAAGTCCCTAACGTCCTGGGAAGCAGGGATGAGAGTGGAGAATTTGTAGGAGGCCCCTTTTCCATTGTTTAAAATTATGTTTTATTTTTATTTTTAGGGGAGCAGGAAACTTATCAGACTAGGTCTGATAGGCAACATAGCACAATGGGAAGAACCCTAGTCTTGGACTCAGTTCAAGTTAGGGCTTTGCCACTCCTAATGGGATGACCTTGTACACATCCCTTCCTTTCTGTGAATCTCAGTTTCCCCATCTAAAAAAATGGGGTGCTAGCCAGTCTCTTAGGCCCTTCCCACTCTGACATCCTATGTTCTAGGGTATCTTCCAGCTCTGATAGCCTATGTTCTACTTTCTACATTTTATTCTATATCCTATAGTTCTCTAGGAGAGGCAAAGCAAGGCCTCAGTACCAGCCTGGGGAAGGACAGAGGGACCTGGGATGCAGAGATGAGCCTTCTCTGATAACCAAGAGTGAGATATATGGGGATGGGAAGTCGGCAGGGGCTGGGGAGAGGGTTACATGAAGAACTTAGCCATCGCCTACCTTGCCTGAGCTCAGACCCCCTCACTCACACAGACACACACAGACGGACACACACGGATGTCTATGCTAAAGGTCTATGGCTTCTATGATGCAGATAAGAGAACAAAGGCTCTCTCGAATGTCAGCAGGAATGAGACAGGGCTTTGGTCTTAGATGACAGAACTGAGCCAGGCTGAGCAGGGGGGGGCCCAGGTCCTGGTTCCCCCAGAAGCTCTCCTCCTGGGTCACCTCAGTCCTGGTGAGGTGAGGGAGAGAGGAGGCAGTGAACACCTCTGCCCCAACCTGGCCCCGGCTATTAGCCCCATCCTAGGCCCAAGCGAGGGTCACAAGTTGGAAGACAGCCTTGATCTGGCTGAGTCCACTTCGTGAGCGCTGGCAGCAGAATCCTTTCGGGTGACCCCCGAGTCCTGGGCTGGGGCTGGGCCTGGGCCTGCATACATGGAGCCACTGGACAGCTGGTGTGGCAGGGCAAGGCGGGTTGGGCCAGGTCCCAGGCGTGGAGTGGAGCTGCTTGCTTCCCGGGAGGTGCTGGGTGGGGGGCCAGGGGTGGGGCCTGAGGGCTGGGGCAAGGATGGCTGGGAGGCTGACAGAGGCCTGGACTCATGGCTCAGGCAGGGCGTGTGCAGGGCTTGTGTGCTCTTGTGGGCAGCGGGCCTCTGGGGTGAGCCCGGGGCTCGGGCAGGGCCTAGTGAGAGCTGGGAACCAGACTCGCCCTTGGCCCCGTACGGGAAGGTCCGGCTGGCCCGTGGGCTCTGCGATGGGGGACTGGCCGTGGCCGGGGGAGGTGGGGGCTGGGGAGGTGGAGGTGCTTGGAAGAGAATGGGTGAGACTGAGAAGGGACTAG